TTCACTTATTAAATTATTTAAATACCAGAGAGATATTCATCATATGTTAGCATAAAAACACTTAAAGTGAAATATAAGTAATTTTCTAGAATTAAAAAATTCAGAAAGAAGAGTGGGGTTTTGCATTTTTTACAAATATCCTTGATGCCTGGATTAATGGAAGACTTAATCTTTTGCAGTAGTGATGTGGTTGAAGTGTAGGAAGGAGGTTCAATCTCACATATAGCCAAAACAGGAGTAGGTGCAGAGACTTTTCAGAGGATTGTGAATAGAGCATGTAGCCCCTGGATGAACAATCCACTGGACACTTGTGAGAGAAAGAAAGCCAAACAGTCAAATTGCATCTTAGTATGAATATAGAACTAGTTGTGATTTTTCATAATTTTTATGAAGGAAAATGACAGAGTGCTTGAGAAGGAATTAATATGGACACCCAATTAGTCTTGGGAAGAGGATCTTATGGAAGACAGGATTGGGGTCACAGTGGACAAGTGTGAGGTGCTTATGCTCGTCTTCTTAGGTAGTGAGGACCACTGGCGTCATTGGAGTAGAATCAGCGTTAGACAAAGTTGCTCTTGTTCTTACAGAGGACAAAAACCGTTCATAACCAAGAGAGTCGAACAAGGCAGCATGTTTAACAAAGCTTTCATCTTTTCTCCAGGAGTATTTCTGTGCCTTTCAACTGCCTGTAAAATTTGTCTTCTACCCTCCCTTCTGATAGGGGGGCTGACTCTCCCTAGTTCTGTGCATTGCAAATGTTGCCCCTGCAGGATATGCAAAACACTGCAGGAGGAGGAAAAATCCATTCTCTATTGAGTTATACCCTGGGGAGGGCAGCCTCTCATCACACTCCCAGATTGTTTCCTTTCCTTTCCTTCTAAGTCTGTGATTATGCCCTCTTTGATCCCCACATGCCCTTTATTTACCTGCAATAGTCTTCCAAACCCTAGGAGTCTGGAAGGTTAGCGGACACCTCATTACAGCTGCTTCTGGTACCATGAGATCAGAGCAAGTTAACAGGCCCGGAGCAGAGTGGATTCAAGGTTATCAGGGAGTCAATTTTGTCTCCTGCTTCTCCTGATCTCCTGTGAAGAGAGATGTGCCCTGGTTATTATTGCACATGGTCAACAAGACATAGGGGAATAAACCATTCTGGCTCATTTGCAGAGAGGACTCGTGTACATGGCCTTGCACCTGAAAATGACCTGAAAAGCTCAGCTTCTCATGCAGAGAAATGTGATTTATAAAGCCAGTTTGTTAATAAGGAAATGGGTAGGCAGGAGGGATTATTAATGATTGTTACTTTATGCCAGGCACTATATGTAAATCATCTCATTTTGTCCTAAGAACATTTTTGAAGTTAAATTTTCCTTTCCTTGTAATGTAGATAAGAAAAGTAAGATCCTGGGATTTAATGAATTGTCCAAGCCACATCTCTAGTGACCTAGTGTGATTTGGCCATTCCCCATCCTGCACACTTATCTTTTCTTTGTGGACATTAATATACTGCCTGAATATACAATAGTCCCCACTGATTTGTTGTCAATCATTTTAGTGTTCTTATTAAGAAGGAATCAATTAAAGAAAAAGAAGACAAAAGTCAGTTTTTCTTAAACTTTATTACTCTGTTGTTAGGGTTCTTTTTTCATGTTTGTTTTAAATTTGGAAGACAGGACAGAAAAAAACTAGGGATACAGCAAAAATGTTATTTATTTTCATTTATGCAAGAGAAAGAAGAGAAAAAGAAAAGAAAAAAGAAATGGAGACAGAGAGAGAGAGAGAGGGAGAGAGAGGGAGATCTTCCATGTGCTGATTCACTTATCAACTGCCCACAATAGCCAGGACTGGGCTAGACAGAAGCCAGGAATCAGAAACTCAATCCAGACCATCTACCTGGGGGCAGTGGCTCAAGAATTTGAGCTATCTTCTGCTGCTTCCTGGGGTGCACAATAGCCATAAGTTGGAACCAGAAATAGAGCTATGACTTGAACCCAGGCACTTGGATATGGGATACAGATCTCCAAAGTGGCGTCATAATTTCTGCACAAAATACCTGCCCCAGGATGATTATTTTTCATAGTTGATTCTTTCCCTTTCAGCAAGAAGAAATATCTGTATGAATAAAAATAATTGTATTTCTCTAAATTTTTCTGTATCAAAAAGCTTGAAAAAATACAGGAAAGTAACAGAGAATAATATAATGAATATTTATGGAGTCATAAATTCTCCTGTCTAGATTAAAAACAAGTTATCCCTGAAAAATACTTTCCCCGTATCCTCTCCACCCATCCTGCAAGAGAGAAATCATCTCCTGACGGCAGCTTGGAATGAAGATCTGATTTTACCTCCTGCACTGGCAGACACTTAGTTCTAATAAGATAAGTTCTTCCTGGCAGTTCACTTTCTCGTCTTTCCGTCCACTTACTTCCCTTTCATTCTGAAACACAAGAAAGCTCACTGGTAGCCATCTTCATAGGGATGTTTTGAAAATTAATGAGCTGAGAGAGAGAGGCCATCTTGAGCTTCTTAAAAAAAATTAATGTACAGCCTGTTTCTCTGGCAGCAATGTATTTTTAGAATAAGAGACTGTCTTATCATTCTCTTACACATACACGTATTCAACAGACACCTCTCTAGGATTTATTGAAGGATAGAAACTAGGGCATGGTTTCTAATTGAATAATGATAAAAAGAAAAGATTCAGGGCCATTCTTAAACATTAGACGGTTTAAAGAGTAATTAACTGATAATAAAAAAAATGAAAATGATAAAGTAGAATTGGTTTTTCACATTATCAATCAGCAAGCAAACACAAAGCAATATAAAGTTATTTCTCACATCCTTATGCATTTGCTCACTTATTTTTGAGCTTCACATAGTGGACCAGCTTTGTCTCTATTATCTGCATGACCTTGGGCAACTTACTTCCATCTTTGTAAGCCCCACCTTCCAGTTGTATAACATACAGATGGTGAATGTACTCACTCCATCAGATGTTGTGAGAATCAAATGCAAGAACTCACGCAATGTACTCCAAACAGTGCCTAGTTCGCCCTTCAGTGAACAGTGTTCAATGAATGAATGCTGCAACTTTTGCTGCTGGTGACAGTAGTTTAAGTACCAGTGTGGGATGAGATCTACAAGTGGTTCTTTCACTATCCTGTCCTACAGCCAGGAAGCTCCCGCCATAGGTGACAAAGTGGCACTGCATTCTGGAGCACCTAGGCTCACAGCACAACGTGGCAGGCAGGAAACTACTGCCGAGGTCTGCCTTTCAGTAAAGCTTGTAGCCCCGGCTGTCAAGCTGTGTTTAGCAATCAGCCTCCATCTCTCAGCTTCTTCAGGATTTCCTCAGCTGCAGGGAGATTACCTGCTGCCCAAGATTGCACTTTCTCTGTACAGCCTGCAGCTGCTGGCTGAATGACATGGGGATAGAAGAGCCCAGTCATTTTGACCCAACATGGAACCATCCTGATGGGCACTGTTGACTCTGAAACTTCCCACAAGGCAGTTGGGACCTTACTGAATCTGCACTAAGTGATTTCCTAGTGACAAGAGCCAAGAGGAGCTTGTGAAACTGCTGCCATTGGCTAAGAATGTGAATACAGAACAATTCTGTCTCCTGCTTGCAGGGGCATGGGGTGGCAAAGATGAGTGCTAAGCAGAAGGATGTGAAGGAAGCAGGTGTGGCAGGCCTGTTAAATCTCCGTCCAATTCATCCATCCGACCCTGTAGAAACTAGACAGATCCTGCAAGCTCAACCAAGCAGTAGCCCCCATCCAAGCTGCCATTCTGAAGGCAGCATCTTTGCTGGAACAGATTAACACAGCCTTGGGTATTTTGTGGCTTTTGACTTGGCCAATGCATTTGTTTCTCTCTCACTTGTAAAAAAGAATAAGAAGCAGCTTCAAAAGCTTCAAATCCAATGGAATGTGTGTGTGTGTGTGTGTGTGTGTGTATTTACAGTTTTTACCATTACTGTGTTCACTCTCTTGACCTCTATCATTATAGTTTAAAGAGATCTAAGGCCGGCGCCGTGGCTCACTAGGCTAATCCTCCACCTGCGGCGCCAGCACTCCGGGTTCTAGTTTCGTTTGGGGTGCCGGTTCTGTCCCAGTTGCCCCTCTTCCAGTCCAGCTCTCTGCTGTGGCCTGGGAAGGCAGTGGAGGATGGCCCAGGTCCTTGGGCCTTGCACCTGCATGGGAGACCAGGAGGAAGCTCCTGGCTCCTGGCTTTGGATTGGTGCAGCGCACCAGCCGTGGCAGCCATTTTGGGGTGAACCAACGGAAGGAAGACCTTTCTCTCTGTCTCTCCCTCTCACTGTCTAACTCTGCCTGTCAAAGAGAGAGAGAGAGAGAGAGAGAGAGAGAGAGAGAGAGAGAGAGATCTTGTTCATCTGGGTCTCCATTCAGAAAAAAACAATTATTTATAAATCTGAATGAGCAAGAAGTGGCTGGTATGCTGGAAGCCTTGATAAGATGCATGTAGTCTCGAGTGTAGGAGAGACACCTTCTGAAGCTTCAGGGGATGGTCCTGTCACCTCTGGGTGTCTGAGAGTGACAGACATGCTGCGATATCACCTCTACATCCTCGCACTTCCTACCAAGAAGGGAGCACAGTGCCTGGTGAAGTTCTTTGTGTTCTGAAGGCAGCAAGGAACTGAGACTCCTAGGGCACCCAACACTATTGTGCCAGCACCTCTGCTGTAGCTCACGCCTATGGCTGTTTGCAGAATCCTATGTAACCAGGTGAATGAAGAGGAAAAGTCCAATGATGGTTTATTGAAGGGTTGGCTCAGTATGGGGTACAAGACAAAAATAGACAACAGGGGCACTCTAGCATCATCCAAAGGCAGCTTGAGAGACAAGCTGTCCATAGGTTTTAGGTCTGTGGAGATAGTTTCTTCCAGGCCTCTCCCCCCATGGGATTTCTTGGTGGGGGGGCACCACAGTTTGATTCTCTTCCTGCAAAGTTACTCTGCCTCCCCATTCTGTTCACAGCACTGATGCCTCAAAAACATCTTCTGCCCAAACTCTTTTCAACACTTCTTTCTGAATAACTCAAACTGTGGCAGTCATGACAACAAAGGTCAGTCAATTTCATGGCTCTACACTTGCTTCAGTTTTTTTTTTTAATAATTTCATTGTTTATGACAACGTTTCTCACTCATAATCATTGGTTGAGTTTTTCCCACTATATCTCTTATGTCTTTTTTCCCCACTATATCTCTTATGTCTTTTGCAAGAATCCTATGCAATATGTCATATATCTATTATTTATGCAATAGAAACAAAGTCTGGCCAACTTTAGAAAAGAAGAAAGAAAAAAAGGAGAGGAAAATATGAAAGTCTGATGCAGCCCATAGGATCCAAGACAAAAGGTGATCAACTTGGATTTAGGGATGGAATGATCTTGGGGTGCTTCAGGGTTTTTAGGAGCAAGAGTTCATAAGTCTTCTTTACTCCTGAAATGATGCCATGTGGACATTTTCCCTCATTGTGATTCTCTGTTCCTAGTTTTAAATTCACGAGAAAGGAAATTTGCTTGAGCAGCCTGTGTGTGCATTTGATTAGAGAGTACAGAAGAAGCCATTAGGGTCTCAAGGCTGTGAAGGAGCTGCTGTCATAGAAGTGAAAATTATGGAGATAGGCAGCCATTCCAAGAGGCACTTGCTACTTCTGGTATTAGTAAGTGAATGGGAAAGTGAATTTGATGACATACTTACTGACAGAAACTTTGTTTGGAAAAAGGAAGCCAAAGTCTGTGTTTTGGTGCTACTTTGCTTTGTCCATCTTCCTTCTCCCTTGCTGGTTTGGTTGAGCTGAGCCACTCCTTTGATGTCCAGAAATGTTGTTTCCTCCCGGGTGAGTTTACAGTCCCTCTGTAGAGGGCTGGGTTTATTTTGCTGTCCTTGGGGAGATGGGGTTCTCTCAGGTCAGTAAAGTGAGGGTGTCTACAGCTCTCACTGAAAGGAATGATTTTGAGGGACGTTAACCCTTCCAGTTCCAGGTGATTTTCATGGGCAGAAGCACTGTTTCCCCAGAGATTGCCATTATTTCAGAGGTAACTGCATTTATGAATGGAGAGCTGTGAGTTTTATGGTTTTGTGAAACTAAAGTCAGGTAATCAAGATGTGTTCTCTTCTTGCCTTTCGTGGCTACTTAGAGCCATGTTGATTGTCCAAGTGTATGAATTTGTTCCCTGTGGCACCTACTAACACCAACTCTTTCCCTTCCTCTCCTGTGGACTCCTTCTTGCTGTATGTTTAAACGTTCTATCGTGCCTCTGTGCTGTTTGTTGGAACTGTGTGTGAGCTGGCTTCAGGTCCTTCTGGAAGCACACATTATACAAATCTCTAAGTAAATAATGATAACCATCTTCCCTTCCTCCTACTTCCAAAATAGAAAATAGCCAGAATGGCTTATTTTAGAGATAAGGAAACTGAAGGTTTGAGGAAAGAAGTGGCCAAGTTGAAGATAACTGATAGGCCCTCCTCGGATTGAGATCAGTGTTTACACTGAGCTCACAGGCTCTTGGCAGTAAGAAAAAGGACTAAAAGCAAATAGCCCTTTCCAGGTTACCAGGGACAAAGAGTAGCTGCCACTTCCATGTGACATTAAATGGGTCCCCATGTCTCCCCTTCTTTTTCTTTTCCAGATCAGTAGAGCAAAAGACCTGTCAGTACATGATCTGAATTCACCTCATTGTCTCTGACAGTAAACTCTTGGGCAAACAGGACGATTTTGGCTATTTACCCTCTTTGGCAGCAGTCAGAATTATATTGATGTTTCCGTCTTCTCTGATAAAAGTTTCATTTTTAGGCATGTCATTTTCAAAGGGAATGATAACTTGCTATTCCCCTCCTCAGAATGTTAACATACTTGGATGGATAGCCAGTGCTAGGAAGCTTTCAGCTTAGGTTGTTCCCACATTTAGGCCAGGAGCATCTGTCCTGGAGTCTCCTTGTTCCCTTCCATGGTCATAGAGTTCCTCTGAAATCCTAAGTAACCATCAAGTACATAACAAGGTAGGGGACCAAGGGAGGAAAATCCCCATAGTGGCCCAAAGGTGGGTCTCCAGAGACACATGGAATGTGAGAGCTGTTGACAGCAAAGTTCACTGATGCAGGAGGGGTGACGTATGCACAAAGATAAGAAAAGGGGCTTCAGGGATCAGGTGGAAAGCAGAAATTGTTCATTGCAGTGCTTGCTCTACTGGTTCTCATCTGCTGGTTCACTCCCCAAGAGTCCATAGCATCTGGGGCCAGTGCCAGGAGCCAGGAACTCGGTTCAGTTCTCCCACATAGGTAGTAGAGACTCAATTACTTTCGCCATCACGGCTGTCCCCTGGGATCTATATTAGCAGGAAGTGGAAATCTGGAGCCAGAACTGGGAATCAAACCCAGACACTCTGATGTGGGATGCAGGCTTTGTAACTGCTTGGCCAAATGCCAATCCTCATCCCTTTTAGTATGAGACCCAGCACGGATCAATCTATGATAAGCTCATTGCATCCTCTTACAAATCCTCTGAGATCGTACTTGGACACAGTTTCTATGGAAAGCTTTGCAAGTGAAGGGCTGGTAGGTGTGTTAGCCAACTAGGGCCACCATTAGACAATACCACAGACTAGTGGCTTCAACAACAGAAATCTGTTCCCTCATGGTTCTGGAGGCTGGAAGTCTTAGATCAAGGTGTCAGCGAGTTTGGTTCTTTGAAGCCCTTTCTCTGTGGCTTGCTGATGGGCTTCCCTGTTGTGTCCTCACATGGTCTTTCCCTGTATATGCTCATCCCTGTTGTCTCTCTGACATCAGAATCTCTCCATTTCCTAATATCACCAATCAGATTAGGGTCTACCCTACGAGTGTCATAACATCTTAATCACCCCTCTCTGAGTCCTATACCCCAAGCCGTCACCTTCTGAGGTACCCAGGCCTGGAGCTCTCCAGGACTACACCATTTCTTCAGTAGGAGGGTTCTATTTACTTCCCTTTGTCAGTTGTCTCTTCAATGTGGCTGATGTCAATGTTCAGGAGAGCTGATTGATTGATTTAAGTGGACCACGCACCATCAGAAACCCTTGGAAATTACATTATTCTCTATTGAGTTTTCCAGTGTGGCTGAGTATTGAACACTGTACACTGCAAAACCTGAAGATAACAAAAAGAATTTTTATGAAAATCTTCCTCAATCACATTGGACAATGCCCATCTCAGTCTCTGAGGGATACTCTAAAGAGGGAAAAAAAATACACTCATGTTCTTTTTTTCTCTATAACCCATTTTACCTTTCCTATTTTTCATCATTTCCTTTAAGGGGCTCTTTGGCTTTACGCAACACTAGTGAGCTAAATGTACAAGTAGAGTTTAATCTGCGGTGATTATTTCCTTCGGCGCAGTTAAAATCCAAGGCCAAACTGCTTTCTCATAATCCTTTCCGTCCTCTGTCTTCTTATCTTTTCTACCATTGTAAACCTGTTTTCTGAGATAGAAAGGAGCCTAAACAGAAAGTGAGTCCAGAAACAGTATGCTTATGAAAGGCAAGGGAAAAACAAAGAGATTATCCCTCTAGCAAAGAAAACCTCTGTCTCACACTGAAAGTCCCTCCTCCTTCCCCCCAGCGGCTCAGTGTTTCTAGAGCCAAAGAGCTTTTATTAAGCAAATGCTTTTGTCTTGATTTTGTATCTAATCTTGGCAAAGCAGCTTCAGGAGAAAGAACTGTGTTTAGAGAGATTTAGGTGGTTATTTGTGATAGATCAAGCCTGGGAAGCTGATCTGTAGAATGAATTGGAGTGTCCGTCTTTTCACGAGCTTATTCCACAAATTTGCACAAAGGATCAGATTCTGATAGGCACAGAGGACTCACTAAATTAGACTGAAAGGTCCCTGCCCTCATGGAGAAGAAGTGAAAGTAAAGAAGTAAAGGTAGCCAAAAGAACACCTCCTGAGTGTGGTGTTGGCATAAAGAGGGGCCATCTGGCAGAAGCAAGAGTCTAGAACTCTGTCCAGGGTCACCGACATGGGTGTTGTCCAATGTAATTGAGGAAGATTTTAATAAAATATTTTTTGATTATTTTCAACTTTTCGGTACACAGCATTCAATCCTTCAGCCGTCTGTGCCCTCATCCTGACTGTTGCCTTTGGGGACTTGTGAGGATGGTGGACATCTAGCATGGGTAAGAAAGAAGACCAAATGGAAGTAGACAATGGGTTCCTTGCACCTTCTTATTGGCAAGTAATATGGCACTTAACTAGCTGATGGCTCAGAACAAGACTTTGCTGGTGCATTTCTTCCATCTAGCTCCTTCAGAAGAGCTCAAAGACCATTAAAAGATTTTCTAACCATCTTTGAGATATTCCCGTTTATTTTGGGACCAATTTCTCCTTCTTCCCCTGCTTTTAATACTTTTCCTCTCTGTGTCATTTCATTCTTCATTTAATTCTCTTTATAGCTTTCTATAAAATTTTCTTATCACTTTACATTAGAACATTTCTAGAACTCCACATTCCAACTTCACTCTGAACCTGTTTATTCTGTAAGGGTTTCTTAATATCGACCCTCAGCCTGGTTTTTTGGTTTCTGTTCAATGATCAATGTTCACTAAGGTTGGATTCTTGGGTCTCATGTATGATCTTTTCTTTCAATAACATCTCTGCTTCTCTCTTGGCTTTACTGTCTACAGCCCTTAGCCCTGTCCATTCCTAAGACCAGGCCCTTCCCAGAACCTCTCCCAGGATGGGCACTCATGGCTCCCACTGACAGCAGAGGTACAAGGAAAATTTCAGCTCCGCTTTTCTTCTGAATTTGTTATAATAAAGACTAAGTAAGTCATTCCACACCAAATACTTAATGATTGGAAAAACCACAGCATATAATCTATACAATGAATCTATACCTTTTTAACAGGATCTAATACTTCTAACCAAAGCAATAAATATCTTATGACTGAATAGTAGACAAAACAACAAATGCAGGGTACATGTACAAAATTATTATGTTCTTTTAGACTTGGCCACTACTGAAATGTCTTCATTTTTTTCATGTGAAGATGTCCTTAATTTGAAATTCTTCTGTTTCTTTAGTCATGAT